GATGATCATGAATGAAGTGAATAGGGAATTGCTAGAAGTTCCCTTCAATTTCCTAATGAAGGTGAAATGTGGTTGATGGATGATTCATTGCATAATTCTTGATGAGAGTGAACTGATCCCTTGATGAAGGAAAATAAAAAAAAATCAAATGAGGCTTGATGATGAGATGATTCACTGAATTAATTGATGGAAAATTTCTTGATGAGGATGAAAAACAGAAAGGGGAATGATGATTTTGGGATAATGAAAGAGGACCAGTTGGTTGAGGTCCATGCTTCCCTGGTGGAGGTGAATGAAAATGGAAATTGATATCTGAATTGGTCCTTGAGTCTGTGGATTGATACATTGCTTAATGAAATTTACTGATGTTGTGTTTGAGGAAAATTTGGCCTGAGTCCTCAGAATTAATGATTATTATCAAAGAAGATTTCAATTCATTTCCCTAAGAACACACAAGGGACTGTGTGTTGGAAACCTGAACCTAATGGGTCTGATCTTTCCTTGCTGAGGAGCTATGGTTGCTGCTGGTAGCCCTCCTCCCATAAACAGTTCCGAAGTCATGCGGATCCGTGCAACTGCGTTGTAGAATGAAGTAAAATTGAGACAAGTCCAAGGATCGATGTTTTGGTAGCAACCCAAAGCAGTCGATGGCCCTGGATTAATTGCACAATTGCTATTTGTTCCTTTCAGACTCTTTTCTTGCATCTGGTGAGTCGCTGGGCAGTGTTTGAGAGATGGAAAGATGATCGGTGATGTCCAAACGTTCCAAAACAAAAAGGAATAAATGAAAACAAAAGCAACATGAAGGAAAACAGACCAACGATACCCCGGAAAAGGGGAAATCAAGGGGTAAAGAGCGAGCATGATGGTGATGTTGGTAAAGAGATCCAAGCGATCCTGTTGATGTCTTCTTAAGTTGGAGTGCCTGATGCTAGCAATCTGTATCATTTTCCACTGCTTCGCTTCCAAAACGGCTCCTTCCGATTTACTCCTCTGGACTTCGCTCCTTCCGGCTAACTCCCTACAACAAATAGTCCTTGAGAATTTTCCAAAAAAACCTATCTTCCATCGCTGAGTAGTCGCGATTTGTCCTTCCTCCTGGTTGAAGCAGTAGACATGTGCACTAGCCATATCGATGGTCTCTTCTTCTCTAGGTTTCCCATATCCAATGCCGAGGTTGTACTGAACACGACCATTGCCGATTGACAGGAGACAAGGCAAAATCTTTTGTCCCGGCGCGAACTGATCTACCTTGTGTTTAAGAATGTAGTAAGCTACTCCAACTGCCTCGCTGGCCTTCATTTTGACGATGATGACCGCTGAGATATTGACTTCATTCCTTTCGTTCTGAAACCACAGGGTTTCACAGCATGTCCCACCCGATACCCAAGCTAGATCCTTTGAGTTTTCTGCAAGCGATTTGTGAAAAGGATTTAAAGAAACCATATTGTATCGTTGCACGAACCAAGCAATCCTCCGATTTGAACCGTATAATGGTTTTCTAAGTACATCGATGGCTTTATCCTCTCTAGGTATAACACATCCAATACCGAAGTTGTAACCGGCATTTTGCTGAATATGGCCGTCGCCGATTGGATGAAAACAAGGTAGAAAAGTTGCATCGACACAATCCTGACTAGAAACTGATTCAAAAACTGATTTGCAAAGACAAAAAAAATTGAATCCCAGGGCTTTGACCGTGGATTCCTCCCCCAACTTGGCTGATGGCCTCATCAGCTGGGAAAAACAAGGAAGCTGAGGAAGGTTGGAAAGTTGGATCTGGCCTGTGGAATTTTTGGTGGTTATGCTGGAAGGTAAAGTTGATCCCCTCAGGTTTTGGCCTCTACTACCCAAGTTGACTGATAAATTTTGAATTCTGTTCTTGTGATTTTCCTTTCTAGAAATTTCAAGCATTCCTTCCAGGGTGCCCAACTCTTCAGTTAAAAACTTAGTCCCTTGAATAAGATTTGAGTTTAGTCCATGTGTGGAGGCCAAATCAGCTGGGATGAAATTTTCCATGGGGCCTTTTTTCAAAAGATCCTGGTGAGCTGATTCTTGAGAAATGAGTTGCTTGTGCCAAGGAGGGCTAAAATAGTGAGTAGTTATTTTGATTTTATCTCCAACTTGTCCAAGAATGGCTGCATTGTTATCTTCTGATGGTAAGGCCATGTTGGGAGAATTCTTCAAGTCTTCTGGTAATTTAGAATCCAAGGTATGTAATCCTCCATAACTAAGAAAGTTTTCCTGATTGACTGCGAGCTTGTGGTTTATTTCTTTTACTGATCCAGAGTCTTCTGTGGCTAAAGTAGTATAAAATGAAGACTTCCTGAGAGGTTCTTCTGTGGGGGAAAGTTGAAGGTGCTGAATTCCAGAGTACTGGGATTTTTCCATGCCTTGAGAAGTAGAGGGATGAAGAGTGGGAAAATTGGAGGAAGGGCTGTGGTCTGGTGAAGAAGAGTTGAAACTAGAGCTGGCCATGTTGAGTAAGTCTGATTTTCCTGTTTCCATGGGATTTTCGTCTTCCTGAGTGGTCCATGTTTCTATAGCTGAAATTCCTTCCTCTTCCTGGGCTGGTAGGTTCTTTTGTTGTAGGCCTGCTTTGTAAATTCTGAGTTCCTCTGGAGAAAGTTCCACCAGCTGGCCAAAAGAAGAAAATAACTGGACTGAATCCCTGGAATATTGGTCCACCACCTGCTTGATTGGCCTGTTAGTGTCCCATGGAATTGTGGTGCTGTCTGGAAGCTTGAATAATTTTCCATCCCTGGTTACTGCCCCAATGGATTCATCATAAAGTACTGAGTTGCATTTTCTGGTGCCATGGCCTTTGAGAAAGCAATAATAACATTTGAATTCTGATTTTCTAGGAGCTGGTGAAGATGACTGAGAAGGAGCTGGTCCAGAAGGATGAGTTGAGTTGATTTTTCCAGAGTAATGAGCTTCAAATTTTCTGGTAATTTCTTCAAGCTTTTGTTCCAATTCGTGGGAACTGGCTGGAGTGGTTACATTGGGGCCTTGGGGAAGATTCTTGGTGGTATAGGTTGAGTTGTCCAAGTTCTTAGTAGGTTCCATCCTGTGCAGTTTTCTTCTGTCCATAACTGATGCTGACTGAACCTCCCTGTGTATGTAGGTCAACAGAATTTGAGTATCTGGAAGAATATCCCCACCATCCATGGAAGAGAGCATCTTGTTGTCCCTAATGAGTTCCCTAGTAACTGAGGTTTCCAAGTCAGAGTTGAGAGATTCCAGTAAGAGTTCCCTGAATTCCTCCAAGCTATTAGAGTATCCCATCCTGAAGAGATATGTGGTAACTGATTCAAATTTGGTCCTGAAATTCTTGAATTCCTCCAGAGTCTTGATTCCTCCAGCTTGGATTGCATTGTTGACCAATTTCTTCAAGTCCTGCCTAGAGTATTTGACCAAAGGAAGAGAGGATCCAAACCTGTTGAGTAGTTGTGCCTTCAAAAGTTCCCAGTCTGAGTCCTCATGGCCAGTCATTTCTTCCACTTCATCCTTGAGGTCATTTCCATGGATAAAAGATATAATTTGTCTGGCCAAATCTTGAGCAGAAGCATCATCAGCTAACCCAGCATTCTCATACCTCTTGATAAATTTTTCCACAGGCATGTTGGTTCCATCAAAGAAAAGTTCCTTATCCATGGGCTTGATTTTGACTGATCTAGTGCTGGTTCCTTTGTACCTGGGTAAAACTGGCTCCTTGTCTAGGAAGTGAGTGTCTGGATTTCTGGTGAATGAATGGGCTGATTGCTGATTGTTGTAAATATTGTTTGATCTGGAAGTAGAATGAGAGATGGTCTGTCCAAGGCTGGAAGTTGAGGGTGGGACATTGTTGCTGGTGGATTCCTGGCCAGGGTAAGTGTTGTTGTTAAATCTAGTATCCTGAGACATGTCTTCTGGTTGAGTGAGAAAGTTGTTGACTGGTATATTATGGTTATTCAGGTGAAGTAGAATGGCAGCAGATGTAATATAAGGAAAAAGAGTGTAGGAATTGAAGAAATATTTCTGGGAAATGGAAAGGTAATAGATATGTAGTCTGATTCAAGTAAAATGATGAAAATGAATTGGGAGGAAGTATGGTAAAGATGAGGATGAAATTATGTTTCTGAGTTGACTAATATTCTGTAGATATCTGGAGAATAATAAATCTGGAATAGAGAGGAAAGGATATGAGGGATAGCAAGGGAGAGGGAGGAAAGTAGGGGGAAAGGTATGTAGGTAGTGATACTAAAAAAGCTGATAGTAATAGTGTTACTAGGACTAAAATCTAAAGGAAGTCAGGCCACTGTTGGGACACCACTTGTGGAACTACTCAACCAGGGAGATAGAGCTTGGAGGGGATATAGACAACTACACTAGTACTAATGTAAGTTGAGACTACAGGTGCTGATGAGGCTGCCCTCCTGTACAATGCTAATGGGTAGAGTGTAACACTAAGAAAAAGAAGAATAGAGGTGTGGCTGATTTCTACTTTATCTTAGACTGCTATTACTGATGAGCTTGTGTATGTAGTACCTACAGAGGTGTGAGGAGGAGGAGAAATGAGGTGTGAGGGGATAATGCTGGCAAGGGTGTAAAACTGGCAATGAGGAATGACACTGGAAAAGGGGAATAATCTGGCAAATGAGGATTTATAACTGGCAAAGGGGGATGTATAACAGGCAAATATAACTGGCAATGATATCTGGTAAGGATATAAGGGTGATACTAGTGTTTCTGATTTCTAAGACTATGGTTAGAAGATAATTCAGGCAAGGTACATAGCATGAGGGGGAAAATACATGAGGAGGAAGAAGGAGTATATAAGTGTACAACATGTACATACAACAGTAAAGCACCATGGCTGGGGAAATCCTGGCTATGGGTAATGTAAATCTTAAACAGTAATGAGTGATGAGAAATAATGTAGCTAAGTGACAGATGTTCTGTGTATACAAGTGTTAATCAGGTATGGAAAGTCAAAGCAGTGTGAAAGGAAATATGTACATGATGTAATGTAGTTAAGGTTATCCTGATTGATGTATGTAATTATGGTTATGCTGAATATGTAGTGTAGTATCTAGTAATGATGATGTACCATGATGAATGAGTGATTCTACATAGAGACTGTAACTATATAATGTGTAATGTATATGTACTGTATGTATGAAGTAATGTACTGTTCTGTAACTATGAATATACTGAGGGGATGATAACTAGAGAACTACAAGAGATACTGAAAAGCTGTAAGAGGTGACTAGGGGGGAAATAATGTGTAGAATCTGAATATGAAATAATAATGGGAGGAATATATGTAAAATGCTGTGAAAAATGAGGGTACATGGAAAGGTATGGACATACCACAACGGGATCAATGTTGAAAGGTGGGCAGCCATCGTATTGTTGTTGGATGCGTTATCGGCAGTGATACGAAAAATGTTATCACTCAAGTCAAAGGATTGGAGGACCTTGGCCAAGTGAGTGGCCAATGTGACACCCGAGTGGTTTCCTTCAACAAGCCTGGCAGCAAGAACCATTGATTTGAGCTTAAAGTTGTCGTTGATCTAGTGCGAAGTAACTCCAAGGACCAAGACATTGTTTGGAGATTTCCACACATCACATGTCAAGCTGAACTTAGAATTGACCAATTTGAACTGATCTTTGAGGGCTTGTTGTCCTTGTTGAAAAGCAGTCCAGATGAAAGATGCCAAAGTATCCTTCCCGCAGAGGAGAGATTTTGTGATTGGATTGCAGAGTTGGAGAAGTTTGGCAAAGTCCTCATGATCAACCAATTCATAAGGGATGTTGCTGGTGATAAAAAACCTTGCAACTGCTGACGTTAAAGTATCGCGGGTAAGTTTATTGGGTGCCTTCCCAGTTTTGGTGAACACTTTGATTGCCCTGATATTGTTAGATTCGCCATTGCTCCGTATGCTGTGGCAGCCATCAAGATGATTTATCATACTTTTTGTTGAGAATTTCTTGTCCACAGAGAGTGCCTTGAGGCATAGGACTGAGCCTCCTGGAACCTTGCTGGCCTGGCAAACATTGAAAGATTTCTCGTTGATTACCTGGGTCTTGAAGTACTGCCACACCCAACTTTTTTTCGATGACTCTTGACTTTGTGGGGCGTCTGATTCTGGTGTGATTGTTTCAATTTCTGAGTCAGATGAAGACATGTCCTCGATGTTTCTCTTGGAATGTGATGGCATATTGGACAAGATTTAATGTTCTAGTACAGCTAACACAGGAAAGCTTGCGGGCTCGCGAGCTTGAAAATTACGACCCAAAAAAATTATGACCTCATGCAGGGTCCTGTACATCTTCCAAAGCTTCTGATTCTTTGGAGGTACAGCCAGGCCAGTGGCACCGATTGTACCCAACCGGCCCCTTTGGGGGGAAGCTCTGCCACATCAGGGCCTCAGGATGGAGGGTGATTGCACTGAACTTTTCATCAGGATTCTGATGGTGTTACTCTCATCACCTGAAAGTGAGTGACAAAAAAGATAGCCGATTTGATTGGAGGTGATCCATACATACATGTACCTGTATTCTTCTAAACCTTCCAGCTGTTGTCAGTAGATTTTTATTTTTTATTTCTGACTTCGGAGCCTGCAAGCTTTCCTGTGTTATCTGTATTACTATTAGCAATATAAGGAAGGAAGTTGATGATTCTAAGGTTATGATTTTGGCTGATCAGAACTCCTGTTGGGTAAGAAAAAGCGGGAATAGGCCTTTATATAATGAGCTAAAAGATCCACCAGGTTCCACAGCTTTCCATCCCCTTTACTTCACAAGTTCACATGCACAGAAGCACATTACATACGAGCGTTTCCCACAAATACAGGCCTTGAAAAAAAAATGCAGCATCCGGCGGATACCCGGTGTTGGGGCCGGATATACCGGGTACAGATGCCGGATGAGCTCTACCCGGACCCGGGGCACCGGACCGTATCCTTATGCCATATCATGCAAATTTGAATCACTCTTTTCTGATTGTAGAAAAAAGAAATGCTGGGCCCACAACAATTCCAGAAGGATTATACTAGTGTACCACAGAGGGATACTGCTAACACTGCTGGTAATAATAGGATACTCAGGATAATTCCTGCTGAAAAGTAAAATGAAAGATGGTAAGCAATTTGGAAACACTTCTAAGAGGTTTTTGGCACTAAAGAGAAGTGTGACTTTGCGTGTCATGAGTTCAAGTTGTGGAGATGTTAGAGCATTAGCAGACCAAAAAGTGGGCCTACATACATAGCCAATTACAGCCAAACCAAGAAAGCTTGTGGTCTTGGTTAGCGGAATTTCTAAAAAAAAATCCAGCGGTTACAGTTGGAAGATTTGGAAGAAAACAGTGAGTGTGCAGATTTCAAAATACTTGCAGGCATCAGCAATGGGCCCTGGCCAGCCAATGTACTGGGGGGCTGAGGCAAGGCGAGCAGCACATGATCAGCTTGCCAGACCAAGATTGCCATCAGGATTCTGATGGTTTTACCCTCATGAGCTAGAACCATGAGATAAAGGATATAGTAAATAAAATCAAGAGTAAACCTTCTATGTAAGTGGACATACAGGGTGGTGTTGTCTTCCAAACATTCTAGCTGCTGGCAATGTTCTTTTCTTTTTTTTTCCAACCAAAACTGCAAGCTTTCTCAGTTTGACTGTATGTAGTTCTCTTTGACCTAAAAGTGGCACTGCATGCTGACATAATCCCTTCCAGCCAGCAAAATCATTTCATGATTTTATTTCTTGTGGGCCTGTGTACATATTTACCTGTAAGTATGCAGCATTGCAGTAAATGTGTAGCACCACTTGGTGAAGGGCTGAGAATTTTGATGATTACATCAGAAAGGGGATGTTGTTGACCATTGTTTGGGTTGGGTTATGTGGTTCACTTACCCACTTGGGAGGAAGCCATTGGGATCAGTTCATTTTCTATGTAGTTCTCCGACAAAGCAATGTTTGGTTTTGTTTGTTGGGAATCTCTATAGATGTATTTATGTATGTATGATGTTGTCGAGGTGACAGAAGATAGAAAAACATCGGAGTCAGCAGTGAGAAGAATTTGCATTAAAGAAGGGCTGTTGGCGGCGGACGGTGATGAGGGAGGATCCTGGAGAGAACCATTTCATCTCCTCACCAACCAAGGCGAAAGAACAACGAGGTCAAGATGAAAGCACTGGCGATTAGCAACCTCATCCTACTGGCAGCAACAACGACAACATTCGTGGTAGAAGCAGCAGTCCAACTACATGCCGGGGTGCAACTCAACGAAAACAACTTCGACGCGACTGTCAAACACGGCTTATGGTCTGTCTCTTTCCTCCTCCTTATGAATCTATAATGAGCCTTAACTCATGCTAATGAGCTCTTGAAACTTCTTGTGACTTGTCAGGTTTCTCGAATGCTACTCGTCCGTTCTTTCGTATTCTAACTGAGTCCATCCGATGGCTTTCTGACGCTGTTGACTGGTCCTTCAAAATTTACATTTTTCACAGACCATTCTGTCCTCATTGCAAACGCTTTGCACCCACATGGATCCAGTAAAGTCCCCATTCCCTTATATAAATTCCGAAGAAAAAGACTTGTCATCTTATGTTTTGATTTGGCTTTTGTTTTTGTGTACATTATAGGGTGGTTGACAAGATGAAACACTACGAAGATGAGGGATTGAAGCTGGGACAGGTGGATTGCATCGCCCAAGGAGATCTCTGTATCCGGCTTAACATCGAGTTTTATCCGCAAATGAAACTCTATGAAGATGGACAAGTCGTCGAATCTTATAGTTCAGTATTCTCTCCACTATCATTCATATCTCTTTCACTTAGTCCATTCTCCAAGAAAAACCTGACAAAGCCAAAAAAGGACTCACCGAATTCATAACCTTTTTCCCTTTCTTTAGGCGGCGAAAAAGATGTAGAAGCGATTGCGAAGTATCTAGAACAGAAGGTAGAATGGTACCAGTCAAGACACCCGGACAGGAAGAAGAACCCACTGAACGAGCCGCCAGAAGGGCCGACGATTTCGGAGTCTACGACAGAGTCTACTGACACAGGCAAACCTGATTCCTCCAAGTCGACGCCTTCGTCCCCTTCTTCTTCTTCTTCTTCTTCATCATCCTCGGGCTCACATCCATCCGATCATCCTGTATCTCAACCCGATTCCGACCACCCAGCCGTCATCCAACCTGCCACTCCTACCACTCCTACTACCACCACTACCACCACTACGGCTATCGAAACTAAACCCAAAATACAAACTCATACCCCGATCATACAGGCCCCGAATCCGCTCGGACAGATCATCGTTCTCGACCACTTTAATTGGAACTCATTCATCAATCCATCTATTACTCCTCATCCCTTATTCATCCACTTGTTCGTCCCCTCTTTCTTTCTTTTCTCCCCTTTGTTTTTTGACTCACTAGATTTCTGATCTTCTTTTCCTGTTTTCTTATCCCTTTCTTTTAGTCAAACAGCATGGTGCAAAGAGTGTCGAAAACTGACTCCAGGTCAGTCATTACTCCCGTATCACTACAACCCAACGATGATGATGATGGTACTTGGAGAAATTGACTGGATACCCTTGTTTTCGGTTGTAGTGTGGGAAGAAACAGCACGGCTCTTGAAAGAGAAAGCCAACGTTGCCCAAATAGATTGCGACTTGAAAGAGAATAAAGAGCTCTGCAATAGTCAACATGTCACCCAATTCCCCTCGTTCATCTTGTCAGTCCTTTTCTTACTCTTGCTCATACAACGTAAACAAATGGAATCTTCTTCATGATTTTGATTTATATGTTCAAATGTGCAGATATCATGATGGAATTAAGCTCGATTATACCGGCCCCAAAGCGGCCTCAAAGCTCATCGAATTCGTCGAAAAGGCCATATCCACGTGAGTGTTTTTCTTTAAAAGTTATTCAGAACATTCGGAAAATATCTGAGCGTCTTCGTTTCATACTTGATTGAACAGACCCGGCTCGCATGAAATGAAGAGCTTGGACGAATTTGATCAAGCAGTAGAGAAAAAGAACCTATTCTTTTTATTTCTTCATTCTAGTGGGACGCCACTGGCGGTGATTGTAAGTTATCAATCATTTTCCTTATGTTGACATAGAATGAATGAGTCTGACGAGAGGGGAAGAGTATAGGAAGCTATCCGGACGGTAGGGAAAGGCTTTCTAGGCTCGACGGAGATCATGAAGACCGGAAACCAGGCGATATATGAGCGTCTGGAGCTGCCGTCGAGCCGGGCATATCTTTTAGTATTTAAAGAGAATGAACGACGACCGTGGGCAAAGTTAGAGCTGGAAGAAGGAGGAGGAGGGTCTAAGGACGAGCGTCAAGCGAAGCTCACACAAGCGATCCAACACTGGATCGCCCTGCATTCGATCCCAATCCTCGCCCAACTAGACCGCCAAAACTTGCACCGGATCTTCAACTCTGGGGCCCGCAAACTCGTCGTCCTTCTCTGTCTCAACCATCCCTCTCGCAAGCCCGACGATACGAGTCTCGACAAGCACCCGGAGGCCGTCGCGCTTAGAGAGCAGGCCAAACTCTGGGCAGTCCAGTGGCGCAAAAGCCAGCTCGCTAGGGACGTCGACGTGCCGATTGATTGGGTCTGGCTGGATGCTCAGGAATGGAGCGATTGGCTCTACGTCAGACATCTTTCTTTTGTCTGAATCACTCTCTTAATCCTCTACCACCAATTACCAACTATTTTTTTTTGATGTGTGTGGTGTATAGGATTCGTATGGAGTGATTCTCCCTAAACCATCCAAAGAAGGCTTGAAAGAATCAAGTACCATGCTGGTTGTCGATCCTTATCACCATCTTTACTTCGACCATCAAGAAAATCGCGCACCGATCTCCTTCAAACCCACCTCGATCTTCCAAACCCTACTGGCTATCGAAATCGGAAAGGTCGGCGGTAACGTTTCCGGATCGTTTGGCAGTCGGATGGGCTGGGTTCGTTCTTTCTTTCCTTCTTTCTCTTAATTGTTTGCCCCTTTTTTCTGTTGACCATCACCAACACTTGCTTTGGTTTTTTGGATGTTTTCCTTTGTTGGTTCGTTATGCAGAGGTTTCATCGATTGACTCATTCCATCAAGGTCAGCTTTTTTTTTTTGAAGATCACCCAAACACAGAACCAAATTCAAAAAAGTGGTGTGAAAGAAGAGAAGAAAGAGAAAAAAAAGGGCAAACTAACAAATTGGTAATAAATTGCATGAATATCCACAGACGATGATCGGCCCACATTACGTGATACTATGGATGATGATCCTCATAATCGTCATCCTGTGGCTAAAGACTTCGCAAAGCCAACGACGCCGAGGCTCAGGAGGCTACAATTCCTTATCCCCTCAACCTTCGAAGCCGTTCCTCCATTCCTCGTCTTCTTCTTCCAACGATTCGGGGACTCTCGGTGGTGGTGGTGGTGCTGGAAAACCGCCTGGCTTCGCTACCGTCTTCGGACTTAATTCTAACGTCGCTTTTAAGGCCGATTAACTCTTCCCTCCCCCCTTTTTTTGTTTCTCATACTCCAAAATCTCTCTCGATATATATATTCCTCGTTCTTTGTTTCTTTGTCTTGTCTCATGTATTTCACTCAAACACTTATTTCGGTGGTTCCAATTGTTTCTCCCCCTTTACACAACAGTACCACAACACTAGAAACAAAAATCACAGTGTAGAAATGGGAGAGGTCATATACACCTGTCAGAACCAACTCGGGAGTGACAAAATTCCAGCTCCGGGGCGGTTGTCACACCACGGACAATTGCATGTCGCTCCCGCGCGGAGCGACATCTGGGGGTTTCATTGGGGGTTTCGTGCGCAGTCACTGCGCCTACTGCCGCAGTCACGCACGCGGATTCGTCAAGGTGACGGTTACATCCGCGGCGACACGCAAATGACCGTGGTGTCATCGGCTGCCTGGCCCAATGGTCAAGGCGCTTGACTACGACCCGCGTACGGCTTCCGGTGCAATGGTCTGCTATCAAGAGATTCCAGGTTCGAGTCCTGGGGTGGTCGGTGTGATTTTTTTGCTCCTTCTTGCAAAGCAGAGAGTGTTTGAAACAGACGTCTGTCTGACTGAGAATAAGCTTTGTGAATGAAGACTGCTGACATCTTTTAATTTCAAAATGGATTGACTGCAGACCAGTTGGTAACAAATGCGAGTACATAGTATCTGTTGGAGTGCCACCATGTCTATTTTTAATACACTAGCCTTGCTTATTAGGCTGGGTCTTTGGGGAGGGGTAGTGACAAAGATTACGAAACGATATTCATATCTATGGTATAATGAAAGAAACACAGAAAGATGAAGATGCGAATATGAATGCAAGTCGAGTTTTCATTTTTGGTATAGTCCTCAGTCTCTCATCCGGGCAGGAATGAACCGTTTAAGGGCGATTTCCTTGATGATATATTTGGTCAAGATCTCGGGAGAATCCAAGTCATCAGTTTCGAATTCGTCTGGAACGACCACATGGACCAAGATCAAAGTCTGAATGAAGAAGATATCCCTAGTCAGTCGCATGATCCAAGCAGTTCAGAACAAGCTTGAGAGGAATATATATATTGACCTTTTTGACACCGGAACAGACCCGGTTGACTGTTCCTAGCCATCTCCATGAGCTCCGGTCTTCCATCGTCTCCACTGGTCTACCATCAGCATACACCGGAATCATACAGACAGCGAACCTAAGGTTACCCGGATAGGATACGGATGAGATAGAATGGGTTAATGGGGCATTGTGGAAAACGATAAGCCACCGGAAAACGACGCAACTCGGCATGGCCACCCACAGGACCCCTGGATCCGTAGAGCACCCAATCTGCACAGAACTTGATACCCGACCGGACTACCCAACCGAGCGAGCGGAAGTGATGGTAGACCACGTAGGAGAGGATGAACGGGTTGTCTGGTCGGATCGTTTGGTCGGATTGCCCTCGGAGTGACGCCCGACAAAACAGATCCCACATCTCCAAGATCGTCAATGGGCCCGAAGAAGAATCCTGTAAAAGTTTCCTTCCCATCAGTTTTGCATGTGGATATCAAGTACCTGAACGAAAACGAAAAAACACGGACCTCGGCCGATAATGATACATCCAGACAGCCCAACCCGAACGACAGAAAAAAAGCCTCCTCATTCATCAATTGAAGGTGTTCCAGGTCATCGATCTTCTCGACCTCCAACATCAGATCATCGGGGATCAATTGAGCCAGTTTCTGTTTGGGAGCGGGCTTGGTCTCTCGCGGAGTTTCGACGGTTTCGGATGAGGTTGCGACGACTGATTCGGTGTTCATGGCCAGCTGTTTGAGCTTGGATTTCTGGATCTTGCTCTCCTTCCGCTCCACTCGCCGCTTCGCGGTCAGTTCCTCGGCCGTCAGTTTGACTGTAATAAACCTGATCAATCTTGTGGTCGAGTATGTCTATGAGAAGAAAAAAAAAGAATCTTTAACTCACGATATCTATCGTCCTCTAAGACTTCGAGTAACATGCGATTTTTAGCTCGTTGGAGCCAGGTGGGCTCACTCCTACTAAGACTACCTTTACCGAAGAAGCCTTGCTGCCATAGGATCGTTCTACCGGAAGTGAGCCAGACGCTATTAGTGATCTTCTCATAATTGGCGGTGATGGCTGGAGATGATCCTAGTGAGTTTGAGAGATGATGGTCCGGTCTGAGTAGGGGCAGTAGCCTAGTCAGGAAGCTTTCTGGCTTGTTGTTGGGGAGCAGGCTGATCGGGAGTAGCTTGGAGTAGACGCCCGTCGGTCCTCGGACTCGCTTGGCACTCGAATGCGCCGGCTCTTGCTTCGTCGGCGTCGGCGTCGGCTTCCCCTCCGGCTTCGTAACGATGCTTGTGGTCGGATCTGTCATTATGGTGTGCGCTTCGTGTCCATCCACTGGATCGTAGCTCGGTCGGTTGGGTGTGTATCCTGTCTTGCAGTGGTATGTAGTGTCTTGAAGTCTCCTCTCTGGGGGTATGTATTGTACTCGCCGCGGCCGAGTCGGCTGCCGGGCCGGAGTTATAAGGTCGAACGGGTCGTCCCCACCGGAGCTGATAAAAACCCCAGAAACCGCCCTGCACGCTACGGCACTCTCTCCGAACGGTACAAGACTCCCCTCTAACACCGATTTAGACAAGCTTATTGCCAATCCCAGTAACCTTCGTTCGAGCCTCTCCGGATACTATCGATGCACTCTCCAACGTTTCCGATTATCGTCTTGCTCACTGTTTTATCGGGCCTTCGCGCACTGCCCCACAGATGGTATGAGGTCCCGGTTCCTGGAGAACTCACAGAGCCCCTACTACGCCCCGGAGCCACGGAGCTCCCCGATGAGGAGACGATTCAGGAAGCAACCCCGGTAGAAACAGTGCTGCCACCCTTGCAACCCAAAGAACTCTGGCTCCGAATGGTCAAAGAGCATCATCCAGATGTCCCCAATCCCGAAGTACACACCTTTAAGCTAGTGTCCAATCACAAACGGTGTACAGCTACAATCTGGTCAACTCGGCGACCATGTCGTGGTGTGGTCAATGGAGACTCCTTCAAATGTCGCAAGTGCGGTGGCCTTACAGCTGTACATTGGAACCCTTGCCCTTACAACCACAAGACTGGGATCTATGAGGGCGCAGTGGGCAGGGATAAAGATGTGGAAGAGGAGGATAAGCCAATTCATCAAGTAGCACACACAGCTGTAATCCATTAAGCAGGAGGGTTTGAAGGAGCAAGAACAGAAAGGGTGATGGTGTGAAAGAAAAAAAAAGAAAAATTATCAACATGATATGAAAAAAAAAAAAAAAAAAAAAATACAAACAGGCTTGTTAGGCCCCAATCCACAGGTTTCACAAAAACCCACCATCCAATTAAACTCTCACCACCCCAATCCCCCTCCTAGCTCAGCAGAGTCTTGATCTGCTTCAATTATTCTGCTGACCTATGTAGATAAGATTCACATCATGTCTCTTTATCATCCTCTCCATTTCTTTCATTGTTTTCCTGTCTTCTTTTCTTTCTCTCCTGATCACATCTTGTGCTAACTGAGAGACTTGATCTGCTTTGATTATCCTGCTGAGCTAGTAATCAAATTAGACACCATGAGCTTGGTTCTAGAAACCTCTCCCTGACCAGACGGGGTGCTTCCATCTTCAAGGTCTGATTCCATAAGATCAGTAAAAGACATTCTTCAAGTCCTTCATACAAGGCTTCAAACCAAACTGGCTGATGTTTTTGTGTGTGTGTGTGTAAGCTTTTTGAGATCTGGTTGGGGATTGTTCCCATGTGAAATAACTTATCAACTAGAGTCTAAAGTCGGCTTTGCCCCCAGTCTGCATTCAACAGACACTTAAGAATTACCATTTACTTTCTACTTGTCACAAGAGACAGAGCCATTGGCCCATGGCACTTTACTTGATGCAGGCCCTGTTGAGCCTAGGGTTCCGAGCTGGTGCCTCAGATCCGGGTTTCACACTTGCCATATCCAAACCCAGTAGATATCTGGCCCCACACCAGGTTCTTCTGGATACCCAAATAATTCTTTTTATGCATATTTTGCTGTATTACACCAAAAGAAGGGGGTCAAGCAAGAAAAAGTCACAGTGCACAGCAGCCCCTGTCCGGGGTGCACCAGGGGATTCCTTGTCAAAAACCACAAGGTTTTGGGGGTTTCCAGCATCTTACTGGATGCTGGATCTCCCCAGGCCGATCCTGAACCCTGATCCAATCCGCAGGTTGAGTTGGTTATGCCGTATTTTCAGGGTACGAGTCGGAGCCCTAGTTGAGCCCCATTGAGGCAAGAGCTATGGCCCATCAAACTAATCCTATTCCATACCAAGAATTCAACAACTATTCTCTAAAGTTTGTGGCTAGTCCATCAATGGTACATCTCCATTCAGAAAAAGTGATCAATCAAAGTTAAGGCCCATCCATAGACAAGATCAAATTTCTGCCTAATCAAGATTCATGACATAATTTGTCTTCTCATCAGATCTTGAACCCCAGATAAAGCATTGCCCCCACCCGCTCCTGCCCATCACTTCTTGATTGGAGAACCTGGTTCGTTTGCCTTGCCCTTCCCTTTATCACTACTTGCAACTTGGGCCTCAACCTTGCTTTTCCCTTAGACTAGATCTTCTTCCCCCAAGCCTTGGCCCTCCAAGCCATCTGCACCAAAGCATATTCCCTGTCCTGAGCCATCAATTCCTGTTGAGATTTTGTCTCTTTCTTCTCATCCCTACAAATCCATCTATCACACCTTTCTAATTAATGGTGTCTAGATGAATCAAAACAATCAATTTTACTGTGTCATGTTGTCAGCCTCTGGGTAACTAACCTGAGTGTTGATTGGTAGGAAGGCTGTTACTATGAGTTGACTGAGTGTTTTGAGCATGGTGAGTGGTAGTTAGTGGGTGTTAATACCAGTCCTGTAATGAGGAGGTTTCACTCTATCAGTATGGTCTTTACTGAGAGGCTTGCTATCAACAGCGCATTCAGATCAATACTTGGTATTAATAGGCATCCAGGGTACTACAAATCACCTGGGATTGATTTGGTTCCCAGGAGGGGAAGGGCTAACAATACTTATTAAGCTTTAACAAAATTAGTTGAAGATTAATAAATATTGTCAATGGTAATATTCAGCAAGGCTATGAATATTGTGGATAAGTTGAGTAATTTACTGAAGATTAAGAACAATAAAGGTAGACTTGATTTAAGTTGAGTTACGTGTACCGTATCAAAATAAATGTTAACTATGTTTAACTGGTGTCTGAATATTCTGGGGATTAATCAGTGAAAGAGGCACGGATTATAAGTTCCAGAATATTGAAGGAGGGAAAGAATGAGCGCTCAGAATCAAGGGAGCTTTGGCCAGGAGATTGAGCACATCAATTGAGTGACTGAACATTATTTGTCATGATCTATATGTGACATCATAATTGTGTACTAGTTGATCAATGCACTAGTAGCTCTTGATGTGTGTACTTAACAGATCCTCTAATAATGCAGTCATAATTGTGATCAGTGCATGTATTGAATGTATTAATTCTATTAAGACTTAATACTTACTATTCAATACATGTACATATTTATTTGTAATGATATTTGACCGTGAAAATATTGTAGAACAGGGATAACTTGTGGTACAGGTATTTCACGGATAAAGGAGTGAAAGGTAAGTGATAATTACTTATGTATGAAACAGGTATGTATTTAATAGATAAGTAATTAACAGATAAGATAAGTTAATAATAATGATAAGATAACAAGAGGTAAAGGTAAACAACATTATGGATAGGTACTTATGTAGATAAGTACAGGTGTTTCAGTTACTTGGTACATGAAAGGTACTGTGACATGTACTCTGTGGCTGAAAGATATCAATTTCAGAACATCTCACTGGGAGGCCTCTCGGGAATCTTTGATGATATGCTTCCCTACATTAAGACTAACTTACCTCCAAATTATGTTGGTGATATGGAAAAGGGTCCGGCACTTCTCTCAATCAGCATTTGAGGAGAATCAGAAGAGCCTGAGAGAACATGGAATCCCTGGATGGTATGATGATGATTGGAATAATCCATAGATAAGTAATTAATAGATGAGATAATTATAAGATAAATAAGATAAGTTAATAATAATGATAAGATAACAAGAGGTAAAGGTAAACAACATTATGGATAGGTACTTATGTAGATAAGTACAGGTGTTTCAGTTACTTGGTACATGAAAGGTACTGTGACATGTACTCTGTGGCTGACAGATATCAATTTCAGAACATCTCACTGGGAGGCCTCTGGGGAATCTTTGATGGTATGTTTCCCTACATTAAGACTAACTTACCTCCAAATTATGTTGGTGATATGGGAAAGGGTCCGGCACTTCTCTCAATCAGCATTTGAGGAGAATCAGAAGAACCTGAGAGAACATGGAATCCCTGGATGGTATGATGATGATTGGAATAATGCAAGCATGGATCCACTATTTAGTAATGTGGTCATTACAACAAATGATTTTAGTAATACCCCACATAAAGACCCTGATCAGAACCCACTCACATATGAAATTATTTCTTATATTGGGACAAATGATGGCCTGCCAAGACTGCCACCAGCAAATGTGAATAGCCATGCCTTTCGCTTTCCTGATTCAAT